TAGCTCCCACTGCAGCTCCAAGTTCATGCCCTATCCCTACCTAGGCAGAGCTCACCAAGCCAAATCCAAGCCTAGATGGAAGAACCTGAGAGCCACAGATCCCCTGGCTCAGCTGGGATCTGTCTCCTCCTCCACAAGGAAGGCACAGGCCACAAAGGAAGACAGGCAGGCCAGAGCCTGGGCACCCTGGAGGCCCAATGAGGTTAGATGACCATCCAAGGAAATGCTAGGCTTTTTAAGGACCAACAAAATAGGTCACCAAGGTCAGCCATGTTGCACTACCAGCTCACTGTGGGGTCTCAGACAAGCAGGCTCACCCACTCTGGGCCTCAATAGCCTCTTCCATAGAATGGATCTAACACATCTCCTCAGCAGGGCAGCTGTAAGCACCATAGAAGTAGACACCCACAACTAACCTTTGTAAAGTGCAGGCCCCACGGATCTTCCTCCTCCCCTTCCCACAAATCAAGCCTCTGCTGAACCCAAACCTTCTCCTGGAGCATCTTCCATGCTTGTCTTTTCCTTCCCCAAATGTCGCTCATTAAAATCTGCTCCTCCACAAAGCATGGTCTGATCCACAGCCCATGTAGATGCCACTGCTGCTGTCTCCTCTGAGTACCTTGGCCCTAAAGCTTTGCAACAGAAAGCTTGGCCTCCTTCTTACTTCTCCCATCCTCTCTTGGCCCCATGCTAGAGATGAGAAATGGGAATTCAGCCAAGGATGGGTTACAGGGCTAGGTTAGTGGACAGCTACACACGCGCACACACACTCATGCGTGCACACACATGCTTGGGGTGTCAGCTGCATGTGAGTGGATTTCTTCCTCCAACCTGGTACAAGTTGGAGAGTAGGGTGCTGCACAGGATCTGACTTTCCTCATCAGATCCCAGCCCATGAACCCCAAAGGGCCTCAGGCCGCACTGCCTGTAGAGAGTAAGGAGAGCTCCTGTGAAGACTTAGCAAAGAGCTGAGTTCTGCTTCCGAGCCCACAGGTACTATAGGAGCGTGCTGTGTCTGCACTGCTGAGCCTCAGTCTCCCCGTTGGCTCTGTGGAGACCTCACAGGTAAGGACTGCGCACCAGAAAAGGCAGCCCTGCTCTGTCGCTGCATCGCTACCTGTCATCTCCCTAGAATGTCTAGTGAAGCTGGAATCTTCACCCGGCAAGCAAACTTTCCCACTAGTACTGAGAATCGGGATGGAGCCCCGGAAAGCGAAGAGGGAACTCTGCCTGGCCAGCTTCCCCCGGGTGCCTGCTGCTTCCTGCGCAAGGTCCCCACAGGAAACTGCGGGGCTGTTAGAGGGTGGACGGAAGCTGCCTGGAAAGCTGGGGGCGCAGAGCAGGTAAAGAGGCGTAAGGAACTGTCCCTGCTCCCCCGGCGGCACAAGAGCCCAGTCTGCAGTTGGCCTTAAGGGGACCAGTAGCCCCCTGACCACTGCCACACTCTAGGGATCTTAAGGGAGCCCCCTACCACTACCAAACTCATCCCCTTTCCGCTCCCAGAGACTACAAGCAGAAGGAGAAACTGGGCCCTTTGAAGAGAAGCCAGTGAGACGCGCGAGTCTCAGGGACCCGCTGCTCGGATGGGCGCAGAAGGGGTGCCTACCGGATGCGGGGGCCTCAGGCTGCACGGGCAGGACCCCGGGCGGAGGCAGCAGCAGCAACAGCAGGAGCAGCTGGAATCGGAGCGAGAGCCTCCTCCCTGCGGAGGAGAGAGAAATGTGAGGCTGAGCTCGACGTTCAAGGCTCTGGCCAAGAAGAGCACGCGCGTTCCCGAGCGCGCGGCGGGAACCGGGTTCGGACTCACGGCTCATCGTGCCGGGCGGAGCGGCTGACTCGGCGGGAAGCAGACTCCGGCTCGCGGCTTCGGCTCTAACTCTGCCCGGCTCGGCCCGCCCTACAACTCATCCCGCGGCTCCACCCCCGCCCCTCCTTCCAGCTGTCACCTCGCCGCCACCCGCTCACTTCCTCTGCTCCCGCCCTAACCGAGACACTTGTGTTAATTCCATGATTGTTACTTAGACCGCTTGCAGCTGAGACCCTTAAGGCACTTGACCTTTTAAAGCCGGGCGGTGCTAAAAATGTGTCCTTTAGTAGCTCGGACACTGAGGCTCAGAGAGGACACCCAGGGCTGGGGTCAGAACTGAGACTGGAAGGGAACGCCCAGCCACACAGAGAAGAAGGGGGTTAGAGACCGAGCAGCCCAACCTGGCCTGCAGGGGGTGCTGAACTGACCACTCTCAGAGCCCACGGGGAGGACTTGGCCACCGACTGCTGGACTCTGCCAGAAATGAACAGCAAGGATTCCCAGCTAGGAGGCATGAGTTCAAATACAGACCTCACAGCCTGCTGACACCCTAGCCTCTCTGGTCCTCATTATTCTTGCCCATAAGATGGGCACAACGACAAAACCCTCCCCGAGGGGGCTGTAAAATTCAGTGAGGCCATAGGCACAAATCTCGCCTGCAGGAGGTGTTCAGTTAGCAGGAGACAGTTTTCCTCAAGATCCCCTAACTCAGATTCCAGGGCTGTCAAACTTTGATGCTGGAAGGCGTCTCTAGGTGTGGAGCAGGAGCCAAGCCAGGTGGGAGAGATGAGACCTGCCTGCTGGCCCCTCCCTTCCCCACCAAGCCTTTCCCAGGCTACACTGGGACAAAAGCCATCTGTCCTAGGGAGATGAGCAAACCAGGGCAGGACCAGGGAGGGACTGGGGCCCTGAAATGAAGAGCACACAGGCCCAGACTCAGCTTTCCCCACCACCCCAGTCCAGGACCCACACAAGGCTATGAGACACGAGCCAGCAGAGGGTGGGGTGAAGGTACAGACAGGGGATCCCCCTCCAGGTGATGCCCAAAGAAGAGCATAATGGGGTTCCATCCTCTGTTCCAGGCCCTCCCACCCTTCCTCCCCTTGGGCCCTGGGCCCAGCAAACTACTACATCTGCGTCTCCTGCCAACACCTGTGCCCAAGCCCTCACCTGTGCTGCAAACAACAAATGTATGCGACACTGGCATTGAAGGAAAGAAAGCCTGGGAATCACAACTGATGAGTCTCACTTGTCACATGCTGTGTGACCTTAACCAAGCCAGTGGACCTCTTGGGCAATAGGCTGATCAGACCCCCTCATGGCCTGGAGTGAGTGGACCTTCGCCGTGGCTCTATGGCCCACTGCAGATCCCAAGATGGATCTAACGAAGGATGGGCACACAGAAGGAGAGGTCAGAGCCTAAAACAGCAGACAAGATTGCAGTGCCATGGCCCATGCGGGCCTGGACCTGGAGGGAAAAGCAGGGAAAGAAGGAGACAGAGAAGTGGCTGCCAGTGTGCAGGGCTTGCTGACCCCTGGGCGCTGGAGCAGGGGGAAGGGAGTTGCTGAAAGCACAGAAAGCTTCTGGTTTGATGCTGGAGGGATTATGAGGGGTGAGGGTGGGAAACCAGTTGGGCCCATCTCTCAGGAGATTTCCTGCACACAGCTGGATATGCAAGAGAGGTGCAGGCTAGCCCTTGCCCCCAGCCCTGGGAAAGGGGCCACAGAGGGTCACCACACTTGGCCCCTCTGCTCTGAAGCCAGTAGTATCCTGAGACTCAGATAGTGAAACAGCACATGTTTTCTATTATAGGAAAAATCTGAAAATAATAACAATAAATGAATGAATAAGATAAACGAGAGATTGGGGAAAACCGGAAGGTAGACTATTAAGAGATGGAGGACAGGATAAGGAGAGGGGAAAAAAGGGAGAAGTGGGTCCCAGGGCTGAAAATAGTCAAAGTATGTGAATGTGTGTACTGATACGTAAAGTGATCTCTCTTTGCTGTGTAGCTCATGTGCACTGATAAAAAAATAAATGGAAAGCCAACTGCGCAGATGTGGAGGTGAACTTCCACACACCCGTCTGGTGTCCGCAGGAAGACTCCTCCAACCTGCCTCTCTCCCTTTTCTCCTGCAGGCAGCTCCAGTGCCCCCTCTCACCACAGAGCTGGCTCCCGCTGTCCCTCTCACCTCTTTATTGGGCTGTGACTGTCTTGGTCACTCTAGTATCACCAAGGCCAAGCACAGGCCTGGGGACACGGAACACATCCATGAAGCTGATTTTGCTTGGATAAAGAAATGAGTGCCTGTGAGGATAATGGAACACAGGAAGTGGGCCTTCTGTAAATGGGAAGGTCCAGGGACAACCTCATCGAGGTGACTGCCAACCCGCCCATTCACTGTAATGAGCCCCAAATGTGCAGGTGTATGCCTCAGTTTCTCGACCTTCCCCAAGTTCAGCTCCACCCGGGTCCTGAGCTCATCCCAGCCAAGGCAGCTCCCCTCCACGCCCCTGGTAAGGTCATTTTTCTTCCCACCCCCACTCACCTGCCCTCCTCACTCTAGCCAGGACTCACCCTAGCCAGGACCCAGACTTGGTAAGGTCTCAGCTGTGAGGGGGCCCCACCTGCTCCTTGGGAACCCAGAGCAGACTCACCTGAGTCACTCACCAGCTCCACCCCACCCATCCCCACCCATCCCCACCCATCCCCACCCATCCCCACCTCTGGCTGCAGACAGGAAAGCTTTGGCAGGTGCCCAGCATTTCTGCAAATCCCAGCCCCAAATCCTCATCCCCAGCTCTTAATGTGACCAACAGCAACCAACTGCCCTTTGGGGACCTGTTTTCCACCTGTGAAACAGAGGTCATAGTTGCTCCTTGGTGAGGGTTACTGAGGCCCACTGTGTGAGAATCCACAGCCTTTGGAGGAGCTCCTTGTTAGCTCTTCTCTGTCTCTCATTTGCATTCCCTACCTGAGCAGGAAAGTTGCGTGGAATGTTCGCCACCCACTCCTCTTCACTTTCCCAGCACCCAGATGGCATTGAGCAATGGAGGCAGTAATAATAATGGTTAATATTTATTGAGTACCTACTGTGCCCGCCCCCCGCACAGTGTTATGTGTTACATGCGCTTGTATATTTAACTTTCTCAACAGTGGTGTGAAATCAATATTGTCGCCTATATTTACAGGAAAAAAATAACTGAAGCCCAGAGCTGAAGTGGTTTGCTCAAGAGTGGACTCAAGCCAGGTGTGGCAGCTCACACCTGTAACCTCAGCATCCTCAGGGGAGGGAGACTGGGGCAGGACAGACAGCTTGAGCTCTGCTTTGTTGGTAGCTTAGCAACTTAGTGAGCCCTTGGCTCAAAATAAAATAAAAAAGGCTGGGAATGGGTCTGAGTGCAAAGGTCCTAGTTTTAACCCCTAGTATGGGCGGACTGGGTGGGGTGGGGGATAAAATTATACTAAGAGAAAAAAGAAATCCCCGTTAGGATGGTCCAATTAAGCGACTCAGTCCAGCTGAGACACTAAGAACTGAGTAACAAAATGTTTTTACTTCTCTTTCTTATTGGGGTCCTCACAACAGAAGCTACCATGCTCTCCAATAGCAAAAGAGGTTCGAAGATTTTCCTAGATTATGGAGACAGATGGAGGGAAGGGATGTTAGAGCCCCTGCTGGGATACTTTCTAAGTGGCAGGCAGGATGTTAAGTGATTTCAGGGCATCAAGGCCTACATAGTTATAAACAGTCACATGGGTAGATTTTTTTCTTTTGGTCCTTATTTCTGTAAACAGGAAAGCCAACCAGCTTGCTGAAGGCCACAGGCTATAGCTGGTAGCTCTGGGATTTGGGTCCTGCTCTGTTTGATTTCAACATTACAGACGTAACTCCTTGCTACACCCTGTCGCTGGCTCTCTTGGATCCCCAACCCTGAATCTTTAAAACAAACATCCAAATCCTGGAAGGGATGGGCCAAAAACCAAAAAGATAAACACGCTGGAATTTGCTAAGTGGAGAGTCCCCAGGCTCACCCGGGAAGTTTCCACTGTAGGGTCCCCTGTCCCGCAGACCTCACCATGAGGTACCTGGAGCCATCTGATTGGCACAGTCCGCCAAGTGTCACGTAACCGGCATCCTCCCCACCCCCACCAGCAGTGTAATCTGCAGAGCATCAG